ATGTCTTATCTCTGCACAAGTCTTACGGTAGATGTGATCCATATCTCTCTCTCTCTCTTCGTTTTCTTTCTTTAGTCATATTTACATTTGATTTAATTTAAAACAAACATTAAGTTTACGTTGAATTACGGGTCGTTTATATTGTAGGTCTGAAGGGATATAAGGAATATATAAAATACTTATGTCTTTCGAAAAGTGCCGTCACTTCTAAGACATTCCGAGACACTCGTAGTCTTGAAAACATTGGTTCCAAAGAAAGAGTCTTTGATTTTAATTTCAAAACAAGTGTTCAAAATGTTTGCTATTTTAAGAGACAGACAGTGAAAGAAATTTGCCAACAATTTGAATGTCTTTTCGCGAGTGAAGTCTAAATTACAGTAGACTTAAGACCACAACCACTTTAAGAGTGGATTTTTATGTTATTTTTATTACATTTTAAATATTTTATTTTATACGTTATAATTTATAACCAATTAATAAATTTTAATTAAAAAATTGTAATTGAGATATTTTTATTAAAAGCTTTTTAATGGTTTGTTTTTGTGATTTTTTGACTAAAAACTAGCACTAAATGATAGATTGTTTGTTTAGATATTAATAATTTGTTAAATTTACTTATTATAACACGATTTGGGACTAATTTCTTGAAATAATTTTATATATTTGGAAATTAATTTGAATTTCATTTGATTGAAATAGTTACAATTCGCTCACATTTTATAGTCATTTTATTTTTATATTTAATAATAAAAAGTATATTAATTGCGGTTTTATATTTGTTTTTCTGGGATTTTATACTTAAAATTAGTTATAAAATTCAATCAATGAAAAAATTTTGAAAATATTAGAATTCCTTATGTTTTGAAGTTATTTAAGGTTTTTTACAGAAGAGATCACTATTTGATTATTTATGAAATAAGTTTAGTCTTGTTTTCATATAAATTATTTGATAAAACATTGGATTTGAGAGAGATATGGATCACATCTACCGTAAGACTTGTGCAGAGATAAGACATAAATTATTGATATTTTTTTTCTTATTTTAAAATTGTTTGCGTAAAGTGTTTGTCCACGAAATCGTATTTATTTCCCAACTTTTTCCAACCATTTTATATATACTGTACTGTTATTTAGATTTTTGAATAAATTTATGCCTTTTTATTTCAATGGATCGCTAAACCATTAATTTTAGTGATTTTTTATTAGCCTTTTATTCAATTGCAATATATTTTTCGCAAATCCAGTTCCAAGAAAAGGTCATTTAGTCTCTCGAAACGCTTGAATTATGTTTTTTGTTTTAAATACACTTTGATTTAGAATTTCTACTTTGTTTTTATGATTATTTAATAAATATTTGAATTTGAATTAATTAATCATATTTTTAAAAGTAATATTAATAAAATTAGTTTAAAATGATAGCATAGAAATAGTTGTCAAATTTTGCATTGAATTATTCAAAATACAACTCAAAATAAATATATTATCCGAGCATTCAATCAATTTTGAATCATACAAACGAATAGCTCTTACGCTTTAACCACACATTTAATTGAATTACAATTTTTTTAGTGGCAAACGACTAGTTTTTATTTGATATTAGATTTAGATTTAATGTGTTTTTTGAGTGAATTTATACATCTTTGGTTGACTTTTGCATTTTCTGATGAATTAATTTATTTAACATTAGAAGATATAAATGAATAATTTTTTAATCTTTGTTTTTATGATTGAATTGTGGTTTTAATTGATTTGTCAGACTTTTGATTATGATTTGGAGTGATTATAACCATTAATTTAGTTGATTATATAGATTAGTGTGAAATGTATTTGTGATGACAAAACAAAACGTTTATTTCAAATTCTAGTCAATCAAAAAGCAGAGATCGAGTCTACAAACTATTTTCCAAATTCAGGATCAGATTACTCGCAAACACTGCTCAGTCCACCCCCTCCTCAACGTCCGCCGCCGCTCTCCGACCAGTCCATCGATGACTGGCAAAGACAGATCACTCAAGATTTCAATTTTATTTATGATACTTTGCAACGAAAACACGACTCTTTAGACACTAAACATATAGGCAGTGAATCTCACGAACAAATGTCTGAGCCTTTCGAGCAAATAACTGATAGTAATAGCGATGATATACTAGTTTTACCGTTCAGTGATCCCAATGAACCCCTGTATCAGTCGGACAGAGAGCAAGTAGTACTCAATCCCATCGACTTTACTGTTGAGATGCCGACACCAGGTATTAAATCGATTGATCCTTTCGACAGCCCTTTGGATTACATTTGTATAAATAAATTGGGTTTTTATAACTCATTGTATTCTTTAAAAAACCAATAGTATCTCAGCACCAGTTCGATGAACAGCACGTCAACATCCACTTCAAGACACCTATAAATCAGCTTAAAATGGATGATATGAATGGCGACGACTCTCATCGAAAACAAAAAGATGTAAACTTTTATTAAACGAGTTTTTGAATACTTAGGGCTAAGCTTTTGTTTGATTGAATTAGTCATTAAATCGTTACTACGAAACCGATTACCAGCGGACGGGCAAAGAGGACACATATAGTATCCGAAGACACCATTACTCGCCGACAACCCATTCACCCGTTCAGTTGGATAGATATGATAAGGCGTACGCAGAAAAGGGTTGGTTTTAATCAATGCTTTCCTTTGATGTCATAATATATGACAACAAATACTTTATTAAACAGAAAATAGGACTCAATCACGAAAAATGGGACGAGTTTTATATGACTTCCAGGCGTTGGCCACTCGCGAGCTCTCTGTTAAGAAAGGAGATCTCGTATTCATTAATAAACCTAAAGATCATAATTGGGTCGAAGTTGAGGACTCATATAGTGGTCTAATTGTATGTTTTGAAAATGATTGTAGGCTTAAGATTGTGTATTAATGCTTATACTGTATGTCTTGGTGTATATGTATTAGGGTTTGGTTCCCCGGACTTACCTCGATCTCGAACAAGAAGGCATAGCGAAGGCTAAGTTCGACTTCACCGCCAAAACTCCAGTCGAGATATCGTTCAAAAAAGTGAGTCGTTTTGAGATTTTTTTAGTTTTATATAAAAATAAATAATTGAAACGAATGATGAAAATATAACAAATGATGTGAAATGCAATTAAAGGGCGAAAAGTTAACTCTATTGCGAAGAGTGGATGAGAACTGGTATGAAGGAGTGAACGCCAGACAAGACGCCGGTATATTTCCCTGCAGTTACGTCGAGGCAATCAAACAGCCGTTGGGTTAGTCTCACAAAATTGCGTTTTTCTTCTCTATGAGAATGCCTTTAAAAAATGTTCGCAATTTTTTGAGTAGAGATTTTAATTTGCATAAAAAATGTTGAATTAATGGCAAACAGATGTAAAAACAACGGATTTAACAATTCATAGGATGTTATGGAAAGCTTCTTAAATAAATTCACGCATTGAATCCAAGCGCTAAATATAGCTATGATTTTGATTATATGTTTGCTTTTTCTACAACTTATAATTAGATCATAAAAATAGTGAACTAATTGTTATTTAAAGGCATTACTGAAGTATTTATTGAATGTTATAATAATATAGAGCTTATAATAACTAATGCTTTTTGATTCCCGGTTTGATTGCTAGCACTTCGACCTAATAATCAGATTCTATCTCCGATTCAGTCGCTGTCACCTCCGGAACACCTTTCGGGTCCTCAAAGGCCTGAATCTCCTGTTTATGTGAACAACGCTTCGATGCCTAACAAAAGACACGATTCTTCGACATATACTCGACATGCGATGAGAACTAATGTTAAGCCCATGTTATATAAAGTGTTGTATCCCTACAAACCTCAACAGATGGATGAGTTAGAGCTACAACAGGGAGATCTATTGACAGTAACCATGCATTGCGATGACGGCTGGTTTGTCGGCCGATCGACCATTTCGGGCAAATTCGGTACATTTCCGGGCAATTATGTCGAACAACTCTAATGTCGAACAACTCTAATGTCTTGTTTACTCAAATCACTAATACATTAATGAATTGATAAATGTATTAAACGCTAGTCTTTTTGAACAAAACTAATTACAATGAATTAATTTTTAATTTCTATTGGT